AGCAGGAAGCAGTCACCGGAGACCTCTGACCCTAATCCCTTCAGAATAAGGAGGATAAAACCTCCCGGGGGAAATGAGGCAGGATAAGGACTTGGGCCCAGGAATGAAAATATACCAGATGGCCATGAAGACAAGTTAAGACCAGGTGGCCAGACGATGTCGAAACCACATCTGGGCATGCTCAGTTGATCAAGGTTTGTCCGCTATGCAACCTTCCAGCGGTGGCGATAATGAGCAACGCCACCATCTTGCCCCCACAGCACAGGCCGGAGATTGTTGCCAAGCAACCCAAAAGAAGGAGGAAGTAACCCCACCCTGACATGTTAAATTCCACCCCCTGAACCCTTCACCCGCCGCCTTTTCCAGCAAGCCCATCTTTCTTTTTGCACAAGCCCGCGTTGTCCCCAGCTTACAAAAGCGGCCAAACAGAGCCAGCCATGAAGCCAGCTCCGTACTGCTTCCCTTGTGCTCAAGTGTAAGCTTAATAAAATCTGTCTGGAGATTTCCCTGGGGTTTCCTCTCGATTTCTGTCTTGAGGAACCCCCAAACCCCAATGCCATTAGCACTATGAGGATCACCTTTCTCTGCTTCTGTTCTCTCCCCTCTGAAATGGGAATGGCACCTACATGCTCTAACGACTCCACCAGGGCACTGAACCCAAATGCGATGATAAAGGAGAGCTGCCACAGGGAAGGTACAGGAGCTGGAGACCGAGGCAGGCCACTGGTGCATGCGCAGTGGCGGGTCTGTGCAAGCAGACCAGGTGAGGATCAGGAGTTCCCCTGCTAGGCTTAGTCGTGGGGAAGGGGAGCCAGCAAGCAGGAAGCATGCAGAAGCAGCACGGAAGTTTGCAGAGGTGGCAGCTGAAAAAGGAACAAGCTAAGCATTTTCCCCGGTTGTGAAACAAGTCAGGTTCCTTTAACAAGGCACGGGCAGCTGTGATTAAGATCCTGCGTTTGCCTGTTTTTTGTTTTTTCCCAAGTGTTCTTTCTTTGGCCGTTTATTCCGGGGCAATAGAAAGAGAACGTGGTATGTCTGTTTACTAAGCTTTGTGACCTTGAACAAGTGACTTAACCCCCAAGTCTCAGTTATCCGGCCTGTAAAATGGGGACAAGAGCACTCAGCTTGAAGTTACTGTGAGAATGAATTGATCTGAGCCCCATAAACTGGTTAGTACAGTCCCTGGCTGCTCCTGGCTGGGAATAGTGCAGGGCACAGCACAGCTCTGGCCCCAGTGTAAGTTACCAATACTGTGGGTAGGCTAGGGCAGGTATCACTGAAACCTTATAGCCAAGATTCCAGGACAGTCACCATTTCTAGGGCACGCTCCTGTTTTCCCTTGTCGCTGAGCACGTGTCCATTTTTGACTGAAAACACGGTCACCGTGGACGGCACCTTGGTGGCTGCCTAGTTCTCCATCAGCCCCAGAGTCTGGGCTCAGGCCCAGCGCTTCTCAGATCCCCAGATACACAGCTGCGGGGCGGCAGGAGGAGCAAGATGGTCGGCAGGTGCTCGGGGTTCCTGGCAGGTGGGAGACCGAGGTCCTACCTCCCCCTCTCTCAGTCCCACAGGCCACCGCTGCACTGTCCCAGCTCAAAAAGGACAGAGAAAGTGAAATCCTTTGAGCTCAATGGTTCCCTGCTTTGGCTGCACATTAGAATCATAGAGACAATTTAAAAATCTTCATGCCTGGCCCAGCCGGCGTGACTCAGTGGTTGAGCGTCAACCTATGAACCAGGAGGTCAAGGCTCAATTTCCAGTCAGGGCACATGCCCAGATTTGGGCTCGATCCCCAGTGGGGAGAGTGGGGGGGAGGGGGAAGTGGCGGGCATGCAGGATGCAGCTGATCAATGATTCTCTTCAATCTCTCTCTCTCCCTCTCCCTTCCTCTCTGAAATCCATAAAAAAATATTTTTTTTAAAAAAAGGAAAGAAAAGTCTTCATGTCTGGACTGCATTCCAGACCAATTAAATCAATATATTTTTTTTTAAGCTCTTTACATCACCCTGACCCGTCTGGCTTAGTGGATAGAGCAGCCGTGGGCAATCTACGGCCGCAGGCCGGATCCGGCCCGTTTGAAATGAATAAAACTATTGAAAAAAAAGACCATACCCTTTCATGTAATGATGTTTACTTTGAATTTATATTAGTTCACACAAACACTCCATCCATGCTTTTGTTCCGACCCTCCGGTCCAGTTTAAGAACCCATTGTGGCCCTCGAGTCAAAAAGTTTGCCCACCCTTGGGATAGAGCGTCGGCCTGCGGACTCAAGGGTCCCGGGTTTGATTCCGGGCAGGGGCATGTACCTTGGTTGTGGGCACATGCCCAGTGGGGAGTGTGCAGGAGGCAGCTGATCGATGTTTCTAACTCTCTATCCCTCTCCCTTCCTCTCTGTAAAAAATCAATAAAATATTTTTTAAAAAGCTCTTTACGTCAACTCCAATGCACACCAAAAGTTGAGAACCACTGTTCTGGATCAGGGCTTTTCAAACTTGCTATGTGACGATAACTCCTTATATTAGTGTAAAATACAGTTGCTCAGGCTCTGGAATTGGCATTATTACTGGACCTTATGGATCCTAAAGCACACCCTTTTAAAAACGTATAACATTTGAACATCTTTGAAATCAGATGCTCTCCTTCCCATCGGTGGCACCGGGGTTCTGATGAAATACACGCACTCAGGCGAGTCTCATCATTAGGCAGGTGCGAGGGAACACCAAGGCCCTGGCCTCCCCGGGGGGCACTTCCCTGTCCTTGAAATCACTTGCGATCCTGCCAAAAAGGGAGCTTCTGAGAAGGTCTGGGGTAAGGCCTCAGTGTCTGCATTTCTTGTTTATTTTTAATGTATTTTTATTGATTACAGAGAGGAAGGGAGAGGGAGAGAGAGAGAAACATCAATGATGAGAGAGAATCATTGATCGGCTGCCTCCTACATGCCTCCCACTGGGGATTGAGCTCATAACCCGGGCATGTGCCCTGACTGGGACTCGAACCCAACCTTGACCTCCTGGTTCATAGATCAAGGCTCAACCACTGAGCCACGCCAGCCGGGCTGGAAAGAACATTGCTAATCTTCCCAAGGAAGGGCAGCTCCCCAAACAAAAAGCCCTCGCCAGGGCCGCCTGCGGTGATGGAAGACGGGAGGGGTGTGCTTCGGTGCCTGAAACAAGACCCCCAGAATCTCTGTGAAAGAGACTTTTAGGGGGTCAGCCCCTGAAAAGGAGGGGCAGCCGCTATCTTACTCCAGATCCCCAGCACCCGCACCCTGTTCTCCTGTGTCCGAACCCAGCAGGCGACCTCCCTGGTCACAGAAACACGGAGTCTTTGCCCTTTGCCATACTGAGCTCTTAATTGGCTTGGCCATTCACAGCGCAGGATGTAAAGACCGCAATCCCCAGCCTAAGCAGCTCTCCGGCTGGGGCAGGGAGAGACCTCCCTCCCCAGGCCCCTGCAGTCCCGCCTCTCAGGCCTGCGGATCTGACACTCCACCCCAGTTTACTGCTCCCTTACCTTCCTCCTCCCAGACCCGGAGACCCCAGAGGAGAAGCTGCCGGAGGAGACAGGGGGCGATGGGGAGCGGAGTCAGTGCTGAGGACAGACAGCTGGCCAAGCGGTCCAAGGAGCTAGAGCGGAAGCTGCAGGAGGACGCAGACAAGGAGGCCAAGACCGTCAAGCTGCTGCTGCTGGGTGAGGCGGTGGGAGATGAGCCAGGAGGAGAAGGCCCGCTCCGTCCAGCTTAGCCGGAGTCTGGGCGGAGATGGGCTCCAGCCCAGCCCACAGGCGGGAGGACAGGCAGGTCCCTGTCCCGCTCCCATTCCAGTCTCGGGCTGGGGGGTCAGGAGCTCTAGATCCAGATGCCAAAGCTCCGCTGGGATGGTTCTGCTAGTCCTTGGACCAGGAGCAGAACCAGGGCCAGGAGGGCCCCGCCCATCTCTGAACCTCACCGAACCCAACACCTCGGGGCTTGCGGACGGGGCCCCACACGCAGCCAGGGGACTTGGAGTCCAGGACCCCGGAGGATGGCGGACGTGCAAGGCCTGCCTTGTGTACCGTCGGTGTCATGTAGGCGCAGGGACGGGCCCACTTGCCCGGCTCCTTCTCGCTCTCGGTAAAAACAGCAGGAGCAGGCGCCCCAGGGGAGGCCGGGCCTTCAGCTGGAGGCTCCCACCCTGAGGCGCTCCTAAGCAGATGAGGGGTTTGGGCTGAAGAGAGACCAGCACCTGGGTGGTCAGTCAGACAGTAGTCGGGGCTGTAAATAGAACCAAGACAGGAGAGCTCGGCCGCCTGGCTCAGGAAGACCACAGTGGCCGCTGGGCGGGTGGGGCTGTGCGGAGGGAGCTGGGCAGGTGTGCAAGCCCAGGCCCGCCCCACCCTGCGGGCGTGTGGCCTGGCCCTGGGGCCACCCTGGAGGAGCACACCTCTGCCCCTGGGCACCGAGGAGGGAGGCAGGGGAAGAGCATGGCCAGCTGGGATCTTTTAAGCCTAATCAGTTTCTTCCACCTTCAGGATAAGCCGCTTAGACTAGAGCAAGCAGCCCAGGTGGGGGGGAGGGCCGGAGGGTTGTGGGTGTTGATGGAGGGAGAGCGGAGCATGAAGGAGAATATTAGGGCATTTTTGTCAATAACGGCAACACCACGATGGAAAAAAACAGCATTTCAGTGAAGGGATCCAGCTCCCTCCAATCCTGCCCGAGTTCTCGCTCCTGAGTGAAAGGGTCGGAGAGAAGAGGGTGGTCAAGGAATTCCCTGAATATCCTATCCGGGTTCCAAGGAGGCTGCCCCCGCCCCGCCCATGGGGACATCTGGAAATGTCTGGTGGCACGTGTGGCTGTCACGACTGACTGTCAGCATGGAGTGCCACTGACGGCCAGCGGGTGGTGGCCCGGAACCCTGCTGGACATTCTCAATGCGTGGGAGACCCCTCCCCAACCAAGAAGCCCAGCCCAGACGCCCATGCCCACCGTGCGGAGCCGAGGACCCCTCTGTGCATGGCCTGAGCTCAGGCTGGCAGGCCCTCCTCCCCGTGCTGTGCCCATAGGGGGGAGGGGCGGACAGGGGGGGAGGCGGGTGCACATCTGGAGCAAGAGCACTTCTCCCGCAGGGGCCGGGGAGTCGGGGAAGAGCACCATCGTCAAGCAGATGAAGTGAGTGAGCAAGGACCGGGCGGGGAGGGAGTGGCAGGGCCGGCAGAGGGGAGGAGGGGCGCCTGGGCCTAAGGAACCCCAATGTCAAGAACAGAAGGGACCCACGCCCCTCTGCACCCCTTGCCTCTAACTCTCCACTTTGGAACAGAGATCAGGTTCTTATGACCTTTGAGCAGTGGTTCCAAGCCTTTCTGGCCACGCCCCATCTAATCGTCTCTAAAACCCTGATGCCCCCCCAACCCCCGACACAGAATTCTTACTGTTCAAAAAGTGCATCCTACTCACGTGGAGGAAGCCTGAAAGGCCATTCAGTTGGTCTAAACAAGCTTCCAAAGAACACGACACCCATGAAAGACAAAATAAAAGAACAAAAGGACAGCTGAAGTACTGGGGAAGAAAGGCCTAAAAAACTGTTTAAAAAAAACCATGAAGTGATATGAAAAAATAGCAAAGTTTCAAAACATATAATAGAGAACTGAAATGCATAAATATATCACAATACTATATATACATATATTTTATATATTTTTATTGATTTTAGAGAGGAAGGGAGAGAGAGAGAGAAACATCAATGATGAGAGAATCACCGATTGGCTGCCTCCTGCACGCCCCTGACTGGGGATCAAGCCCGCAACCCAGGCACGTGCCCTTGACCAGAATCAAACCTGGAACCCTTCAGTCTGCAGGCTGACACTCTATCCACTGAGCCAAACCGGCCGGGGCACAATATATATATTTATATACTGTATATGAGGCCCCTAGAACCGTAAGAAATGAAAAAAATGCACTGTGAATACCCCATTCTCGAATTGCCCCCCTGTGGGGCGTGCCCACACTGGGAACCACAGCTGTAGAGCCTCCCGGATCCGCAGCCCCTAGGCCTGGCTGCTCAGGCCCCGCTGAGGGCCGGGCGCACTCCCCGCAGGATCATTCACCAGGACGGCTACTCGCCGGAGGAATGCCTGGAGTACAAGTCCGTCATCTACGGCAACGTGCTGCAGTCCATCCTGGCTATCGTCCGCGCCATGTCCACCTTGGGCATCGACTATGCCCAGCTGAGCTGTGCGGTAGGTGCCCGACGGGATGGGGGTAAGCCTGGAGGGAGAGGTAGGCTAACAAGCAGCAGACCAGCGGCCAACAGGCTGGGAGGAACCACAGGTCGGAAAAGTTGGTGTAACTAGAATCCCACCTGCTGAGTTTCCAATCTTTTTAGTTTGGAAGGCGGGTGCACATCTGGAGAAGCATGCAATTCTGCTTTTTTTTTAAAAAAAAAGTGTTTTTATTGATTTCAAAGGGGAAGGGAGAGAAAGAGAAACATCCATGATGAGAATGATTGATTGGCTGCCTCCTGCAGGCCTCACACTGGGGATCGACCCCACCACCCAGGCATGTGCCCTGACCGGGAATCGAATCGTGACCTCCTGGTTCCTAGGTCAACACTCAACCCTTGAGCCACGCCAGCTGGGCTGCACTCCCTACCTTTACTGTAATGTTTTCTTTGCCTTACTCTACCATTTAAATAGCTCCTTGGGCTCCTCGCCCGGCCGTGGGGCTGTTAAAAGCTCGATCCCTCGTTCCAGGGCTGGCCTTTTCCTACACCTCACAAAGGTGACAGGCTGCTGCCTTCCCTCGTGCCCACCTCTCCGTCAGTCTGCCCTGCGAACGCACGGTCTCCACGAAGCAGCGGGCATGTGCTGGGGCGCATGCTCTGGCCTAAGGGTGGAGGATGGAGACACCCAGAGGAAGCCCCTGGGCCCTCTGCCCTCCGGTGGGCACCCCAGGACTGGGTGCATGGCCACCCTCTGCATCTCGGAAGCCCACTCAGCAATTAGTGTTCTTAGGTGGACTCTGCCCTGGACACTGCCTCCGGCTCAGGAGGCTTTGGGAGCGATGCAAAGTGCTGCCCTTCCAGCAAAATTCCCAGAGACTCCCTGTGGTTCTCAGCCAGGCTTCTGCCTTACAGGATGACGGGCGGCAGCTCAACAACCTGGCCGACTCCCTGGAGGAGGGCACCATGCCCCCCGAGCTGGTGGAGGTGATCAGGAGGCTGTGGCAGGACGGCGGGGTGCAGGCCTGCTTCGACAGAGCGGCGGAGTACCAGCTCAATGACTCGGCGGCCTAGTAAGGCTCGCTGGGGACGGGGCGGGATGAGGCGTCCGTCACCTTCGAGGAGACCTCACACTGGCCTGAAGTTCCAGGCACTGAAAGCTGGGAGACCCAGGGGCTGAACTTGGCCTGCTGCCTGTTGGGCCTCAGTGGTATTTTACTTGTGCTCGGAACTGAATGCCTTTAGGTCAGGACATGGGCCACAGCTCCCACGCTCCCTATTGCTTAATTTATTTATTTATTTATTACCGATTTCAGAGAGGAAGGCAGAGGGAGAGATAGAACATCAATGATGAGAGAGAAGCATGGATCGGCTGCCTTCTGCATGCCCCACACTGGGGATCAAACCCCCAACCTGGGCATGTGTCCTGAAACCGTGACCTCCTGGTTCATAGGTCAACACTCAACTACTGAGCCACGCCAGCCAGGTTCAAGTGAGAATGTAAACGTGAAATTCCTGGCATACAGTAGGCACCGGTGTTAACTTTCCTTCTCTCTTTCTCTCGGTCCCCTCACTTCACATCTGCCTTCCTCCTGCCACCACCTTCTTTTTTGAACTTTTAAAAAAATGGTAACTGGCAAACATATACAAAAGTAGAATACACTACATCACCAGGCTTTCACTGTTATCAACTCATGGCCACTCTTATTTCATTTTATCTTCATCCCCCACTGGATTATATTGAAGTAAATCCCAGATATGCTATCATTTCATCCTAAACATTTCATTATGAATCTCTAAAAATAAGGGCTCTTTTTAAAAACAAATCACATAATCACTGCAACTAAATATTTAAAATTCCTTAATGTCATCAAGTAGCCAAGTCAGTGTTCATTCAAGTTTCCCCAATATGTCAACGGTTCCCCCAACTCGGTTCAGGATATAAACGTTGCAGTGACTCGTGTCTCATGTGTGCTAGTTTCCTAACCCACTCCTATGTTTTTGATGGAACTCCTGGCACCTTTAAAACCACCAAACCTCATTCGAGAGTCTAGAAAACCCTTTAGCCAGAGGAAATGCATGGAAGTTACCTGACGTGACTTCAATGGGGCGGAACCGCTGCCTCAAACGGACGTGGCCCGAGCCCAGGCCACACTGTCTCTGGTGAGGAGACCTGAGGACCGGAAGGGAAGAACCCTGGCTTTAGCAATCTGGATTCTAGTCCTGGTTCTACCGCCATGTTAGTTGTATGCCTTTGGGTAAGGTTCTTGACCTTTCCTGGCCTTCGCTGTGAAAATTTAATGTCACCGACGCCAACCACTGTTCTATAGCTACCTGAACCAACTAGACCGGATTACGGCCCCCGACTACCTCCCCAGTGAGCAAGATGTGCTGCGATCCAGAGTCAAAACCACAGGCATCATCGAGACCAAGTTTTCCGTCAAAGACTTGAACTTCAGGTGAGAACATGGTACCCCGAAAGCACCTCTGACATCAGAGGGCACGGGCGTGCATCCTGACCTTCACGGAAGCCCACCTGAATCCGTGTCCTTCCCTGGCCCTCTCACTGCCACCTGCTGCCCTCCCTGGGGGTGGGCACCAGACCTGGGGGCTGTCCCTGCACATGCTGGAGGACAGCTTTCCGCCCTCAGGATGTTCGATGTGGGAGGGCAGAGGTCGGAGAGGAAGAAGTGGATCCACTGCTTTGAGGGAGTCACGTGCATCATTTTCTGCGCGGCCCTCAGCGCCTACGACATGGTGCTGGTGGAAGACGACGAGGTGGTGAGTGGCCTCCTAGCCCCTGCTCCAAGCTCTCTCCCTTCTCCTCAGATCACGTTCCATCCGGGCACCCTAGATACCTTCTGGCGAAACGCCTCACAGGGCCACTCATTTCCCAAGACCTCTTCAAGTCTACGAGGTCGGACAGGGTTTTGCAGGCGTCTTAGCAATGACCACAGGCTGCACGTTACGTTTGTCTTCTTTCTCATGAGATGAAAAGATGGAGCCAAGTTAGCTAGGAGCATCCTTCAAGACCCCAATGGCCTGCTCCCCGAGACCAGGCTGGCCCGGGCCCCTCTGGGCTCTGCAGATACACAGCCCCCGTTCTCCTCGTTCAAAGTGGCGCTCAGAGAAGGAAATGGCAGAAGTGCTTGTGGTGTGGCACCGGGCTCTCCCGCCCTCACCGTTCGGCACCATTTACATTCCTGCCCAAACTGAGACCCGGGACCCCATCACAGAGCCCATCACAACCATCCTGGAGACGCAAATGGGCACATGCTAACAAGAGCCCAGTCTCAACCCTGGGTCAGTAGCGCGTGGGGACGTCACAATCCTTAGTGTGCCCTGGCTCCCAAAGACCTGCGTGACATTTGTGGCCATCACGATCACGGGCACGTTCCATACATGACCTCATTTAACCTGTGTAAAACCCTACGAGCTAGGGAGACAGACCCAGAAAAGCGCGACGATCCTCCCCGTCACTCGGCCAGGATAGGAAGAGCAGGAGGAAGCCAGTCTGTTGGCTGTTCTAGAGAGAGAAGCTGTTCCCTATCTTGCTTTTGGCATTTGCACTCGTGTCTCCAGAGCAGGCGGCAAACACCCATCCCCTAAGCCCAGCCTGGTGGCTGCTGTATTTCCTCCCCTAGAATCGAATGCATGAGTCCTTGCACCTGTTCAACAGCATCTGCAACCACAAGTTCTTCGCGGCCACGTCCATTGTCCTCTTTCTCAACAAGAAGGACCTCTTTGAGGAGAAAATCAAGAAGGTGCATCTCAGCCTTTGCTTCCCAGAGTATGAAGGTACGTGTCAGGGCTGGGGACAGGGCTGGGGACAAGGTAAGGCTTTCGTAGTGATGACTGGCGGTGCCATGCCCCACACCAAGGAGACAGGCAGGAACTTGTCTCCGAGGAGCACTCAGTAACCCCCCTGCCTGTGCCAAGTTGATGACTCCTTCTCCCTTAGCTCTCCTCCCTCTTGGGAGCACTGTGATGTCCAAGTGACACTTGGCTGTCTCAGTGAGAAACCTGGGCATCCAGTTCCAGGTTGTTCAAGTTTATTTTTTACTGCTTTGAGAGAGGAAGGGAGAGGGAGGGAGAGTTAGAAACATCAATGATGAGAAAGAATCGTCGCCCTAGCTGGTTAGCTCAGTGGATAGAGGTAGGTTTACATTCAGGTGTCTCTGGAACAGAGCAGATGTCAGATGCAGGAGAGCCACCGACTGCCTATTCCAAAGGAATCTACCAGAAACCGAGGGTGGAGACATAGGCAGCTCTCACCTCAATTTCTTTGCTCAAACACTGGAGTGCAGTACAGGAGGGGCCTTCCCTTCAAAACAGCGTTTGTTTTGACTCGTAATACTTTGAGGGTCAAGTCAGTCACCTAAAAAGTAAGTGAGCAACTAAGGGTTAATTTATCCCATTTCTTCACTATTTTTCTGGAAAACCAGGGAACAACTCTTATGAGGATGCAGGGAATTATATCAAGAGCCAGTTCCTTGACCTCAACATGCGAAAAGATGTCAAAGAAATCTACAGTCACATGACCTGCGCCACGGACACGCAAAACGTCAAATTTGTCTTTGACGCAGTTACAGATATTATCATCAAAGAAAACCTCAAGGACTGCGGGCTCTTCTAATCTCCATCACTTCCCATGTGTATCTTCCACGAACAGGCTTGGAATCTGGGCGATTTTGAGCAGAAAATGTCCGGTCACGACACCGTGCGATGGGGAATGAACGCGTGCTCCCTTGGCGGTGAGGTATACATGCCTGGACGGTCTCTCACATTCTTTCCAAAGCAGCGTAGCCAGTGAGTTTAAAGAGCCCGAGGCCAGGAGCCAGAAGACCCAGGCTCCAGGACCGGTTCTGCAACTCGCTGTAAAACTTAAACATTTCATTTCTCAGGCCTCGAGTCCCTCACCTGTAAAGTGAAGGGAACTCCTCTACTACTTCACGGGGCTCTTCTGATGATCACAAACCTAACTGCAGGGAACGCACCGAAAGGCTCTGTGGTTAGAGTCACAGAAAGAAATCCTATGGAAACGCTGCCATTTATGACAATCAATACCAGGATTTTTGATGAACTAGCCCAAGCAAAACAGCAAATATCAATTAAAAACAAAACCTTGATAACCCTACCACCCCTTTTTACTAACAGACCTCTCTCTATGTGCCATAGCTCAGACATCCAGATCACTGAATAGAGGTGTTAGTTTTGAAGGCACATATAGAAGAACAATCATTTTATTAAGCAGACTACCCCTCTGCCCCCCAAAAGACCGAGTTCCCTTTATCTATAGGTAACTGTTTCTCAGCTATACAGGGCACTTTCTAAGTAAGCTTGGAGTATTAGTGATTTTATTGCTGCTACTCCTCTACCATAGAATCTAGAACAAGTGAGCAAGCCTAAAATTCTCATTTCAACTGCTATTTGTTTCATAATAAAAAAGGCAGCGGATCTTGCTTTAGACAATAAACATCTTTGCAGTTGGGTGGGTCCCTGTAATGTCTGGCTGGAAACATCTTCCCAAACAGACCACTAAGCAAATTATTCCTCTCAACGCCTTCGAGGGGAGGCGCAGCTTGCATTTATCTTGACAGGAGCGGTGAAGGGTGGATTTAGCATTTTTACAGCTACCAGTGAGGGAGGCTCTTGGCAGCAAGACTTAGTATCTCGCAGAACGTGTCAATTAAGATGAAAATACACTCTTTGCCAGAAGCACACATTCACACCGAGGCTGCTACCAGCAGTGTTGATACTGGGGAACCATATGAGCTAGAAACACACTGAAGACGACACTGCAGCTGTTAAAATTGGATTCATTCACTAGTCTGAATCCTTGAAAGGAAACCCACTTGGGAGAATGAAAGAAAACTCCTCTGCCTACTGCCACTTAAAAGCTTAAGCCAAAAAAAAGGCCTTCTGTCGTGAGTGGCACACGTAGAGCAGCCTGATTGCTCTACGTGTGGAATCGACATCGAGCGAGTTCGGAAGCATAATTTTTTGGTACTTGGACAGCTGGTGATCGTTGGTCCTGGCGTCCGCAAAACACACACACACACACACACACACACACAAACAAAAAAACAAAAAACAAAAAACAAAAACTTAAGCCAAAGCCTGGCCGGTGTGGCTCAGTGGCTGAGCGTCCATCTATGAACCTGGAGGTCACGGTTTGATTCCGGGTCAGAGCACATGCCCAGGTGCGGGCTCAATACCCAACACTGGCAGCCAATCAAAGATTCTCTCTCATCATTGATGTTTCTCTCTCTCTCTCCCCCAAATCAATAAAAAAGTATTTTTTAAAAAGGAAACAAACCAAAACTCAAGTCAAAGAAAAAATCTGGGTAAGACTTCTTGTATCCAAGAGCAGTTCAGGGACTTTTCTAAATGGCTTGCTCCAACCATGACTTACCTGTTTGCTTTAATTCTACATACAGGGGTTCTGAGGTTTTTGGGTTTTTGATTTTTTGTACTAGAGGCCCAATGCACGAAATTTGTGCAAGGGGCTTGGCCCTTGCAGCTCGGCCCTCGCAGCCCTGCCCACTGGTTGTTCCGGAAGGTCGGCCCACCGTCCAGTCTAATTAGCATATTAGCTCTTATATAGGATATGGATCCCTCTGGCAGTCTAATGAGTCCTATGGGCCCTTCTCAGAATATTTAAATGGCATTAAGTAAGTTCGGAGATTTACAAAGGACGCCAACACACAGAGTACAGGTCTGTCTTTGCAGCTCTGAAGCACCGGGTTAGAATCCTCGCTGCAGCTGTGACCTGTCACACAGGCCTCCCATGCAAATGTATCCCATTTAATCCATCTTCAAATAGGGAGGACCCACTTCCCCCCAATCATACCACATTGTGGAATTTTTTTAAAAAAGATATTTTACTGATTTTTTTGAAAGAGTGAGTGAGACAGAAACATCACTGTGAGAGCAAAACATCCATCAGCCGCCTCCTGCATGCTCCCCGCACTGGGGACTGAGCCTGCAACCCTGGCACGTATCCTGACCAAGAATCAAACTGACAACCTTTTGGTGCCCGCTGGTCATGAAAAAGTAAGCAATGGTGTGAACAGAAAATAAAACGAAGACCTTCCATTGAACATCAACCTACAACAAGGAGGTCATGGTTCAATTCCCCATCAGGGCACATGCCTGGGTGCAGGAGGCAGCCGATCGATGATTTTCTCTCATTGATGTTTCTATCTTTCTCTCCCTCTCCCTTCCTCTCTGAAATCAATAAAAACGATTTATATTTTAAAATAACACACACAAAAACAGACCTTTCACCTGCTCCTCATATAGTTGAACTTCATTTCAGGTCTTTAAAATGAATATGGGACATTGAGATGCTGAGACAAGATGAGCAGCTACGGACTCTGCAGTGTAGTCTTGAGGATCACGAATATTTACAAAGCACCTTTAAATGTCATTTCTATGTGATGAGAACCATGGAACATCAGAGTTGGGAGATATAACTAAGCCCACATTTAGTTCAGAGAATAGGGATATAAGACCCAAAGATTTCATAGCTGGTTGGAAACGGGGGAAAAACAGAATCCAGCACACAAAACAACTCTCCAACCTCCTAAGATTCTGAGGCCTCAGGACCTTCATCCTACATGAGCGAGAATGAACAATTAGAACAGGTGACTTCTTGTGATTTGTTATGTCTCCTGGGGGAATCTCGCATACATGGAATATGGGTACACGATGGAGGATAATAGAAGTTAAGAGATAGAAAAATCCAATTGTACAAAATCTAATATTCCAGCTCTCAAACCTCACAGCTTAGTGAACGCTCGTACACTGAGATGGTGCGTCCCAGCTGTGTCCTTGCTAATTATTTTATGATCGCTGCTACCTTGCTGATTCCCACGAGACTTCAGGCAAACATCAGACCGGGTACACACAGCCTTTACTACTGGACCCTCCATCACTCCCCCTACCCACCCTGTCCCAGGCGCCTCAGAAAAGACTTTCACTCCAGTTTGGGCCAGCTGTGCTCTTCATCCATGAATGGTAGATTCACGGCATCACATTTACAGTTAGCTCTGTCACCGGATTTTATTTTTAGTGTGGCGTGTGAATCTTGCCATTTCCAACGCATAAATAAACGCAGTGAAATGAATGTTTACAAGTCCCAGTTTCTTGTTTTGTCTTAATTTTGTGTAAAAACTAGAGACTATAAGTCATGTACAAAAAGTGCTTCTTACTGGCAAATAAAAAGTAGCCTGGCCAAGGAATGTCCCCATCTTCATCGTGGCTCTCTGCCACCTACTCCTGTGTGACATTCCTCACTACCTTATTCCTGAGAGGACAGGCCTGACCCAGGCTTGACGCAGAACCAGGAAAACTGCCCTGTCCTGCCCGGACTTGTTCAGAAGTACGTGTTCCTCAGTAGAAGTAACTCATAAAAGGTTATGAGAAAACTGCAGGTGTGTGTGGGGTGGGGGCAGGGGGTTAAAACCTAAACAAAGGCACCGAACAAAGATCTTGACCATCCTGGAAGGCAGTTCCTCAGGGCCTCGAATCTTTCTTTTACTTCCCAATAGCTACAGACAGCAAGGTCAACAGCTGGCTTTCTCTTGTGTGTGGATGGCCATGAACCCAGGCAGAGAGCTGTGGTTGGTCAAGCTCACATCGCTCATTTTACTATGAAGCCTGGAGAAGAATACTGGGAAACTGAGACAACTTTGTTGTTAAAGTCGGTACCACACCCAGCCAGTGTGGTTCCGTGGTGGACATCGACCCAGGAACCAAGAAGTTATAGTTTGATTCCCGTCAGGGCACATGCCCAGGTTAACTTGATCCCCAGTAGGGGGCATACAAGAGGCAGCTGATCCATGATGTTTCTCTCTCATCGATATTTCTCTCTCTCTTCCTCTCCCTTCTCTCTAAAAGTCAATAAAAACATTAAAAAAAACTCCAACTAAGTCACATCAGTATCACGTCTAAAAAGTTTCACAAATGAGAAGAGAGAAGGGAATAAGTGCAGTTTTAGGTTTTAAAAACGAGTAGAGGACTCACTGTGATTTTTTTGAGCATTTGGAAGGGAAAAATCAACCAAAGGCAGGGTTTAACTGGAATGAGACTAACGTTAGCTTCTATGTGACTGCCAGACAGCAAGGAGCTTCACAATAGGAAACTCCAGAGCTATGCTAAGCAAATAGATAAGCAGATGGAGTGCTTAGCCAGGTCAGGCAAACAATGTCCACAGCAAGTCACAGCCACCAAAAGGAGAACCATGGCAAGGATGGATGTACACAATTAAGGTGAGCAAAAGAACTGGAAGAACCAGCGATTATTTTTAAATACTCTAAAATACGCATGTAATAAAACCAATAGATAGAAGAAATAAATAAGACAAGAGAGCAGTTTTTAAAAATGTGGTCCATCTATTCGTAGAATGCAGCACTTTGTGAAAAAGAACAATCCATTAGTGGAAATAATAAAACAATACACTGAACTACACTTAGAAATCTAACTGTCCAAAATAAAAATGGCATCTCAAGATCCACTTACAAAACCTGTAAATGTCTTCGGAATTTTCATGCCAGGAGGTGAAATCTGTTGCAAGGCTGAATTAATAAGGTAGAGGAGACTGGCCAGGAAGTAGAATGCTTCCTCTTTATATAGAGTCGAAGGTTTAATCAGGCGAGAAAGATATGACTGTCAACAAAAAGAAGCTACTACTGCAGTCCTTCCTGCTACGGTCTAGTAAATGCTGTTCTTTATTTATTACAATTTAATTTTCTTAGATGTGCTGATTTCTTGGATGGTCCAGAGCCTGGCAACCTGAATTGTGAAACATGATCCATCACAACTCTCCAGCATTCTTCCCCACCAGACACAGGCAACTTTTTGTTTCTTTAATTACAAATATCAAATCTTTTCTCCAGGCTAGTAGACAGGATGTGTCATCCCCACATTCTAGCTATAAGAAAAAATCTTGTATTTCAAGATACAGTAGTGATCTGCAAGCCTGGTGATCAGAATAACCCTTTTAAAGTTATGGATTGCCAGCCAGCTGGCCAGGAGTCAATCTCTCAGATGGATCCAGGTGATTTGGGCTTAAGGCATATTTGAAAACCACTGACTTCAACTGTGTCCCTGTGTCTGCCAAGGAATGTACATTAAGGTAAGTTATTTGGGATGGGGGAGGGGATGGGGGTTGATCTTCATGTAAACACAGAACATGTGTAAATGGTGTGAGAGGCAGAAAAGTGGAGAACTACTACTTTTCACTAACAGAAGGACTGAAAATGAACACAGACATATTCAAATGAAAATACAAAATGCATTTCAAAGTATAATGAACTTTTTGGGGTTATCTGTTATTATGGGCTATCAACAACACCATCCCATCAGCCCAGACTATAGAAACACTACAGTTAAAATAACACTGGAGCAATTCTCATTTCCAGATGATTCTATTTACAAAATACAATAAGGAAAAGATATATTCAAAACAAACAAGAACTATCATCCCTATTTACATTGTGGGCATAAGTCAATCACCAATTAAAGCTGATAATTTTCTTTCTTTTAGGTCGTTTGCACAACACTAAAATAAAATTGTTAGATAACACAGTTCACCATCCACATAGTAATACTTTTCCAAAAAGAATAAGAAAGAAAAAAACAACAACAAAAACTACCAATAAAGGCACTGAACTACTGTGGCTTATTTTTGGAACCAGCTTCGATGACCACCAAACATTTTTTTTTCTTTTTAAACTAGTGAAAGATCACATCAAAAGATGAAATAGAATCCAATCCTAAAAGATTGGACCCCAAAAGGCACTGCTTAAACCAGTGGCATGGACTGCTCAAAATGCATTCTCTTCATCTGCCTCTGCAATGGACCGTTCACTATTTAATGACATTTGCTGTACATTGTACAAAAGGACCTGCAGGCAGAGGCAACTACAGCTCCCCACACGACCAAAGTGTCAATCTGGGAAATGGACTGTGACGGCCTGTCACTTACACAGATGGGACATGAGCCCCTCAGGCTGGCCAGGATTCAACAACACAATTACAC